AAGAAGTTGGGATGCCCACTTCCACACCGGTTTCAAGTCCTGTGACCCACACATTGAATGTACATGATTATTGAGTGATTCCGTTTTTCTCTTTTAGGAGTTTGATTATCCCTTCTAATTTAGCTCATACTGTTTCCAGGTCACGGAGTCACCCCTCTGTCACTTTGGCTGTCTTCTCCAGACTTTCCACTTTAGTTGAATAGGTATCCACTTTAGCAGTGAGCACTGCCAATGATTCATTTACTGGTTTTAATTGCAATCGGATAGTAGCAGCCAGCTCTTTCTGTTGTCTGGTGTTGCAAGACGCCATGTTCCCACAGTTGAACCGTGGATGGACAAATTCTAGCTGCTGGAGCTTAATAGACCTGCTAGTTATTTCTTGTCACACAATGAATGCCACAAACCTTAATATGATGTTTAGTATTGACAAGTGTTAGGAAATAAGTATGTTATTTTATTGTAATTTGCAAAAGAAAGCCACGTGTTTCAATGCATACCACCGGAACCAGATATCACGCATAAAAAATCAGTTCCCTTGATGAACCTTGTATAACTTTATGATCTGAGATGTCTGTCCTGCAAATAGTTTTTCAGAGACTGTATAAAATGTTGGCAATTCGCTTGTTAGCATTTAGCTAGCATTCGCTATGGGATTTTACATGTAGTTGTTAGCATTGCTAAGCTTCAGATTACATAGGCACTGAGCCTCTGTAATCTGAAGGTTAGAATTAACATATATCCCGGGATGACAAGGTCGGTATGAAGGTATGACAATCTGGATACCGCCCAAGCCTAACCTCATTGTGACATTCCACTGTCCTCGTTGTGACATCACAGATACATTTTCTTTGGGGAAGCCTTTTCCTCATGCTCAGATTCTCCTAGTACTCTGTGCCAGCAGTTTTTTAATGGAAGAGAGCGAGCGAGCGAGAGAGAGAGAGAGAGAGAGAGAGAGAGAATGAGAGAAAGATCGCTAGAGGGAGAGAGAGGAAAAGGGGGTGGGGGGGGGGGGGGGGGGGCTGGTTAAGTGCAGTGAGTGAGAGGCAGGCAGTAATCACAGCTGTGGTAAAAGCCTGCTCTGCTCTGCTGTGCTCTGAGCTGTGTACCGTAGCAGTAGCGTACCTCTGTCAGAGTGTTCCTACCGCTGACTGCCTGATAATAGCCCTAGATTGAGTAATTGTGTGTTTGAGTGTCTGAGTGGACTATGCTGCATGGTGGAGTCAGAGTCTCTCTCTCTTTCTCTTTCTCATTCATACCCAGCCAGCCTCTGCACTCCCTCACCAGGCTCTCCCTGCAGCCCTTCAGCCCGCCTCTCTCTTCTCTTTCCACCACTCCGGGACAACCGGGGTCAATAACAGCTGTAGTGCTGCTCTGTAATTTATGTCATCATTTCAATTTGAGCTGATTACAGTGGAGAGCTGCTTATCGCCTGACCCTCACTGGGTGGGTGAATGTAGAGGCCTATAGAGGCCCAAGCCCACATGCCGCACACCACTACCTTGCCTGACTGAATGGTTTTCTATGGCTCCATAATGTGGATGTAATGACTGTGTGTGTTACGGGGCTGTCTGGGGTAAATGGACGTGTCATTGGCACTTAGTGTGAGTTTAATATTGTGATCATCAGGTCCCAGCCTCAACACCGCCACGCCTGCCTGATGTGACTGGCTGGGCTGTAAACTGGCATGATTAAGTCCTCTGCTGACATGTGATACTGGGGTGAGATGGAAGGACTGAACAGTACGGTATCTGTAGAGTATCTCTCCTTTGAGATTCTTCACGAAACTCAGACAAAAAAAGACCATGATTCAGAGGATTTTCACAAAATGTAATCCATAGAATAGTCCTGTAGAGGAAGGATGGTTCACATATATTTAACATTTGTATCTAAAAGCATCATTGAGTAATAGTATATTAAAGTTGGCATACTTATGACGTTTTGGCCTTACCCAGGCCTCTTTTAAGACTCCATAGTGTTTCATCTGTAGTTGATACAAAGCAAACATTGCTTTACAGCTTGCTCTGTAATATGAATAGTATTTTGATTTATTTATTTTTAACCCCCAAAAATGGAATATTGAAATATATAAACATGAATATTGACAATATAAAATGTTTGATTTGGCAATTTTTTTCAGGCAGGTCACCCGTGATACAAGTCAATATTCGACGTCCATGGAGGTCTGAGGACGTCGGGAGAAGATGTGGAAACTGGCCACTAGGGGCAACAGTGAGCGCTGTCACCTTCAAGTACACTTTGGTTTTGCTAGAATGTTGTGGACATGGGCGATTGATGGATGTAAGCATCTGCCTCTGGTTTCTATGGTTGCATGTTCAAATCCAGTGATCAGTGGTGGAAAGTACTTTAAGTAAAAATACTTTAAAGTACTACTTAAGTAGTTTTTTGGGGTATATGTACTTTACTTTACTATTTATATTTTTGACAACTTTTACTTTTACTTCACTACATTCCTAAAGAAAATATTGTACTTTTTATTCCACTCATTTTCCCTGACAACCAAAAGTACTCATTATAGTTTGAATGCTTAGCAGGACAGGACAATTGTCAAATTCATGCACTTATCAAGAAAACACGTGGTCATCCCTACTGCCTCTGGTCTGGCGGACTCACTAAACATAAATGCATCTTTTGTAAATAATGTCTGAGTGTTGGAGTGTGCCCCTGGCTATCCGTACATTTTAAAAACAAGAAAATGGTGCTGTCTGCTTTGCTTAATATAAGAAATGTTAAATGATTTATACTTTTACATTTGATACTTAAGTATCTTTTAGCAATTACATTTACTTTGATACTTAATTATATTTAAAACCAAATACTTTTAGACTTTTACTCAAGTAGTATTTTACTGGCTGACTTTCATTTTTAATTGAGTAACTTTCTATTAAGGTATCTCTATGACAATTGGTTACTTTTTCCACCACTGCCAGTGGTCATTTTTTATATTTTTGTTTTAAACCGATCCCAAACCTTAACCCTTACCATTCTGAGTTCATGCCTAACCTTAAGAATTCAGAGTTAATGCTTAAACTTAACCCTAACCTTAAAAATGCAGAGTTAAGGCCTAAATTGAACCTTAAAGACTTTGAAATTTGACATTTGGAACAACATCAAAATGTGACGTTTGAGAAACATTGAAATTCTGTCCTGAGTTTATAAGAGCTTGTTGAATTTTACTATATATTTTGAACATAATATTGTATATTGTACGGGCATATCAAAGTTCCAGAGTGTGATCTCTGCTACTTTTAGAGTTATGATCCAATTTGTAAGCATTACCAACAGAGTGAATGTGAAAATTGATTCAAAATGGTCAACCTCTGCTGGTGATTTGCAGGATGTGCAATGATACAAGTGAAAGGGGGGCTGTTTGTCTATATAAAATGGGCCATAACTTTAAAACTAGCAGAGATCCCACTCTGTAACTTTGATATGCCCAAAGAGTATATTATATTCAACAATATATATTTAAAAATGCCAAATTCTTTCGATATTAATGTTTACATTTTTCTATATTAATAAATTCATGAAAAAAATGTCAATTAAAATCAAAACAGTGATCATATTACAGAGCAAGTGATAAATGACACATGACACACATTTTTGCTTTGTAGAATCTATGGATTAAACATTATGGAGTCTTAAAAGGAGGCCTGGGTAAGGCCAAAACATCATAGATATGCCAACTTTTAGTAATTATTTCTCAATTATGCTCCTAGATACAAATGTCAAATATATGTGAACAATCCTTCCTCCAAAGGACTATTCTATGGATTACATTTCGTGAAAATCCCCCAAATAATGATCTTGTTTTTCCTCGATTTCGTGAGGAATCACTCTGTTACACAGCAACAAGAATGACTGTGATAGCCATCCAGGAGAATGTGTCATCCTATGGAACTTAATATAGAATAGACTTAGTAACCATTTATATATTTATTTCAACTTTATTTTTCCAAGCAGGTAGCTTAGTGGTTAAGAGCGTTGTGCCAGTAACCGAAAGGTCACTGGTTCTAATCCCTGAGCCGACTAGGTGAAAAATCTGTCGATGTGCCCTTGAGCAAGGCACTTAACCCTAATTGCTCTGGATAAGAGCATCTGCTAAATGACAAAAAAAAAAGATATATATATTTCTTATTTACAATTATGGCCTGGCAGATTGTATTTATAGAAAGATAGTGACATCGTATTTAACTGGAATAGCACGGCGAAAAACCACTGTAAATGGATGTGTAAACACAACATGTAGTGCATCCAAGAGTAAAATCACGAAAAGAAAAAAGCCATTGTTGGGGACCTTGGCAAATCCAATCAGATCTAGAACAATCCTTTTGGAACACCTGTAAATGCCTTTGGCGTTTCCGCTTGTGTCTGGATTCCGAGGCGGTTATGAAAGGCTGTTTTCAACGCAAATACAAAAATAGACAAGCTTCTCCCAGCTCATGCTGTGCACTAATAACGCACAGACACAGACACATGCACACACCTAGGGGCTACAAAAGGCGACGCCTGAAGGCGGTCTCTAACATATCGTTCAACAATCTACATACGTTACAGCACAGGGACAACCATAACAGATAACAAACTATGCTGTTTCTAACATAAACCCCAGTTCATCCACCACAGAAAGGAGAGAGAGAGAGCAACACCCTTCACCCTACAACACCACTTGTGTGATCAACTCTTAACTAGGCGATAGAACACTGCTAGAAAACTAAAGGATCTCTCTCTCTCTCTCTCGAGCGAGGAACGAGGGAGCGAGCGCGAGAGGATGAAGAATAGATATCTAGAGAGAAGACGGATCTCTGAGATGTTCTCGGACTCTCGCTCTCTCTATTCTGTCTTCTCTCTAGGACTCTCTCTCTCTCTCTCTACTCACTCTCTCCTCTCTCTCTCATCTGCTCTCTCTCCCCTCTCCCCCCCCCCCCCTCCCTCCCTCCTCCCTCCCTCCCTCCCTCCTCCCTCCCTCCCTTCCCTCCTACCTCCCCCTCGGCACTTTTAATAGCATTCATTAGAAGAGCTATCCAACCGGTCTCTACCGCTGGTGGCTGAGGGAGAGAGAAAGAGAGGGAGAGAGAAGGGGGGGATAGGGAGAGAGAAGGGGGGGATAGGGAGAGAGAGAGGGGAGATCGAGATAGAAAGGAGAGAGAGGGGGGAGAGAAAGAGAACAGATGAAAGAGAGGGAAACGCTCTCTGATCACCATACATCTCGGATCACTTCTCTATGCCTGGTGAGGTTTGTCTGGCTCGTTCTCAAGTGTGTATTCACCATGCATGTATCTGCCATATGCTGGAGTGCTGTGTGACCATGTCGGCTGCTAGCTCCAGCTGTGGGCTGCTAGCTTCCCAGCTGTGTCCAGGTGTGTGTGTAATACATGTCTCTGCTGGCCAGGTGTTCTGCCTCCTGAGATGTACAGTAGAGAAGGTCTGGGCCCCATAGTGATGTACAGTAGAGAATGTCTGGGCCCCATAGTGATGTACAGTATAGAAGGTCTGGGCCTCATAGAGACGTACAGTAGAGAATGTCTGGGCCCCATAGAGACGTACAGTAGAGAATGTCTGGGCCCCATAGTGATATAGAGTAGTGAAGGTCTGGGCCCCATATAGATGTACAGTAGAGAAGGTCTGTCTCGAATAGAGATGTAGAGTAGTGAAGTTCTGGGCCCCATAGAGATGTACAGTAGAGAAGGTCTGGGCCCCATAGAGATGTACAGTAGAGAAGGTCTGAGCCCAATAGATATGTAGAGTAGTGAAGGTCTGGGCCCCATAGAGATGTACAGTAGAGAAGGTCTGGGCCCAATAGAGATGTAGAGTAGTGAAGGTCTGGGCCCCATAGAGATCCCATTGATAATCAATTCTAGATGTAATCTCTCTCCTCCCCAGCTTCCAGTTCTAGCAAATGCTGCAAGTGCTTCCTCTCTACCTCTCCGGGCTTTCCTATTGGCTGAATCCATACCTGTGTACCTGTCTGACCCTATGTTCCCACGGCAACACAATGCCACCCTATCATTTGGCTGCACCCTCTGATTATCTCAAGCCTGGTCCATCTGGAATGGAAGTTTGTATGGCTGTGTGAGGAGGTATATCTTTATGAAGCCTGCTATTATGTTTAATGGTTTACAATACAATACATATTTATGTACAGTCCATGTGTGGGGATCAGGCAATCAGTTCAAGTTTACACAGCTCTCTAATGCATAGAGGAGAGCAGAGAATGACACACACACACACACTCATCAAACAACAGCTTTGACCAAGTATGCTAGACCAGGGGGAAAGCCATTAGCGGGACAGAGGTTTATAAACACACACACTCATGCATAAAATATTCCAAGAGGCTAGGTTACTGAACTTCATTTCAAAGTGAAACCAATTCTCTTCCACCGTCCCAGCCAACAGTGTACAGGAGTCTCCTGCATCTCCTCAACAAGACCTCACCAGCTGATCACAGTCTCTCTCTCTCTCTCGCTCCCTCCAAACACATCGTTCAGTTGATTCATTTTCCGAAATACAGTACCTACCTAACATGGTGCAGTTACCAGAGAGAAGTCAAGGGGGTCGTTACTAGTTAACACAGCCACAAAGTCATGAACCTATTTCTACAATTTGCCTTCTTAAAGGTCCAATGCAGCCATTTTGATCTCAATATCAAATCATTTCTGGTTAACAATTAATTACCTTACTGTGATTGTTTTCAATCAAAATGGTCATAAAGAAACAAAAATAGCTTCTTAGCAAGAGCAATTTCTCAAGCAAGAATTTTGCTAGGACTGTCTGGGAATGGTCTGAGTGGGGAGTGTAATGCTAAAAACTAGCTGCTATTGGCAGAGAGGTTTGGTACTCTCTTTCTTATTGGTCTATTAACTGCACTGGGCGTTCCTATGGAAACTCAGACATGACTCCTCTCTCTGTCTTGCAGTCGTTGACACATGTACACACACACATTCTAAAGATGGGGACAGGATTGGCAACTAATAACCTCACTCCACATGCTTTACAGGCCATTTAATGGAGAGACGCCTTTAGAGAAACGTCCTGGCACATTCCCAAACAGATTTACAAAACAGAAACATCACATCTCATCCAGTCAAATTAGCTAGGTTTCATAAACTACAGAGCTTGACCAAGCTCCACCAATCAGCAAAAATAACCACACAGGAAATACTGTACAGGGTAGGAAAGAGGAGCAGGAAGAAGGATAACCCCAGTACAGCATGTAACAGTGCTGAGAGACAGGAAGTTGTCCCATTGGAGAGCAGTCATAATGTGTTCAGTGGATTGCATTGACTCTACAGTAACCCAAACAACCCAAAACTCACCAGGCCGTCGCAGTTGCTGATGGCTACGGTGGCTCCGGGCGTGTCTGTGACATCACCCACGTAGAAACAGTCTCTCTGCAGGGGCTCGGAGCGCGTGGCTGTCCCGTTGCTGTCGTCATCGTTGTGCCACTCCATCTTGGCTCCGGGTGCCACCAGTCGCGCGTTGTGCCGCAGACGCAGGTGGAACTCCCGGCCGAAGACAGTGACATTGTAGTAAAGCTGTCTGTGTAGGGGCCCTCCGTCCTTCTCCTCGTACATTCCCTCTCTTTCTTCACCTCTTTCTCCTTCTCCCTTGTTCTCTCCAGCCTCTCTCCTCCAGCGCCTACGGGACTGCCCCGCCCCCACCAGGCCGGCTGACACAGCGTGGGTCAAGAACCGGCCGTCTGCGTCCACGCTCACGGGCCTCACCAGTCCATACTCCCCCAGGACATGCTGCAGGGAGTCTGGGGGGGGGGGGGGGGGGGGGGGGTGACATGTGGATGGGAGGTGAGAGAGAGGAGGGTGGTAGGGGGAGAGGGACAGGTGGGGGTGAAGTAGAGGAGGGTGGTGGGGGAGATGGGGGGGTGGATGGGGGTGAGGGAGAGGGAGAGGAGAAGAGAGGACGGGAGGAGCGAGATGAGTGGGAAAAATAGGAGGTGAGAGGAGAGGTGAGAGAGGAATGCAGAGGGAGAGTGAAGGAGAGAAGAGGATAGGAAGGGGAGGAATGAGAGAATTAGAGAAGAGAGAGAGGGAAAGGGGGAGGTATATTAGAGAATGACAGCGAGAGAGAGAGCGAGAGAGAGAGAGAGCGCGGGGGAGAGAGAGAGAGAGAGAGCGGGTGAGAGAGAGAGAGAGAGAGCGGGTGAGAGAGAGAGAGAGAGAGAGAGGAGGAAAGAGAGAAGGTCATCTTAATTGCATCACTGAGAATATATGCACGGATTTCAATCAAATAAGCCTATCCAACACACACACACACACACCCCTGAACCCAGATGTGACCCCACGTCTTGCCGGGCTGCGAGCATTGAAACGGCAACCTCTGCAGTGGCAGTGCGTTGGGTGCGTCTCTCTCCCTCGCTGTCCTCTCCTCACACACAGCAGCACAGAGACAACAGAGAGACGGCAGCAGAAGATCAAGGTGCTAATTGTGACTCTCACACGCTGAATAATGTTTTCTCACCGCCTGCCACGGTTCCCATGGAGCTGACTTCCATAGCATGCAGTTGAGTAAAGAAACACTTGCATGGTTGGCTTAATAACAACGCCTCGTGGAGACACAAGGAGACAACAACACAAGTAGATTAGCCTACAGAGTAAAAACCAAGGGAAACTAATTCATTATAATTGTTTTAGGTATCTACTTGTAAGATATAGGCCTTATTGCATAACATAATTTATCGTCATCAATATCATGATCATCATCATCTGTTCTGATCCACGCACCAAGTTGTGCAAAATGCATGTTGTCCTCTCAAGCTTTGGGGAGACATGCAACATATTTCTAAGTAATAATGTGGCCTAATTGATATAAGTTATTTTAGCCTATTGCGTCATTACTACTTCCCCATAACCAGGTCTCTATGCATTATAGGCTGTTTTCTTGGCGACGCATCACCCTATAACTGTGACACTGACAGTGACACCTCCCTCTGTGGCGGCTTTTAGATGTGAGATAGATAGATAGATGCACCCTCCGGGACCACTAGTGACAGAAAGCTGCACCTCGCCCACATATCACAACTCACAGCCACAACACTAGATCATATCAGTGTGGCACTAACCCTCTGCTGTCCTTCTCAATATCACTCAATATTATTATTAATATCTAAATGGATATCTTTACACAGATAATAAATATGGTGTTTCAATCACTATAGGCATAATGAGTGTCTATAATGGATATTGTTATCTAACAGTGGTGGGAATAAGCAGGTGAGGGCAGTGTCATTTCTAGGCATAAGTGACATAAGTGGCCGCTAGGGGCCCCACTTTTTTCAGGAAGTCAGTCAGGGACTCAACTTACTGTTGCGAGTTAGAATAGTAGAATACACAAGGTGCAATTTCGAAATGTGGTTGTGCATCAGCAGTTTTCCTGTTGTTATGTCAGTCTCTGACAGTCACTCAATTAGCCCATGTCAGCTAACATTTTATAGATTGCTGGTAAGGTAGTCTAGCCAGCTATCTAAACCTTGTTGCAATCATGGCTGATCAAGGCACGTGCCCAGAGGCCCTGACCTCTATGGGGAAGGGGAATGCATACAACTGAAATGTGTCTTCCGCATTTAACCCAACCCCTCTGAATCAGAGAGGCACGTGGGGCTGCCTTAACCGACGTCCACGTCATCGGCGCCTGGAGAGCAGTTGTTGTTGGGGGTTAACTGCCATGCTCAATGGGCCCCATTGATTTTGTTAGTCACTCTCACTCAGATATCATATGAAGATGGCATAAGCCATGGCAACATGTGTAGAATTACAGGAAATTTGCTTTAAAACTGCTAAATGTTCTCTCCATCCCATGGCAAAATGTGTAGAACTGCATAATATTAGCTTTAAAACTGCAAAGTTCTCTCTGCCCCATGGCAAAATGAGTAGAATCGCATTAAATGTGTTTTAAAACAAACAAACAAAAAATATCTGCCCTATTCCACCAAATCTGGTTTAGGGCCCTCAAAAAGCTAGAAACCGCCCTGGATGAGGGTGAGGTACCAGGCACCTGATTCCTTCAAGATCTCATCAGTCTGATCCTACAACAACAGCTCAACCTGTTTCAATAAGCTATGTTTTCCCCATGGACACTAAATAAAAAAGTTTTTTGCAAAACATGTGTGATATCAGATACTAAGTGTGCACTGTGCAATGATATTATTCTGCATTGTTTATTATTATTATTCTCTAATATAACGGGAATTATGTTAATTTCTAATCAATAACATCCGACCCTTCTGTCCTGTGACCAAATCGATAGCAGCGATCTCCACCTTATCAGATAAGGTTACTCCATGGCAAAAACCTTGTATCCTTCACAAAGCCAAAGTGAATTCTCCTGCCCTGACTGTCCGAAAAGCTGAACCGCGCGCCCGCGTCAGCACCGGGATGAGGAGAGGAGAGAGAAACGCACACTTCACAACACTGCCTGCCCTTATGACACAGCACAGAGAAAGACGATTCTCGGGGAAATGTATCGGGAACCAACATCCATCTAGTAAGCCAAAGTTGAAAAGGGACGCTTTAGGGTATGTATATAACTATAGACTATAGCCTAGGCTATGCTGTTGGGCGCACAGTGCGCACAGAAGGTTGCGTCTACCCAATTGACCCCAAGCGTATGGAAACAGCAAATATTGTAAACATAAGTCCCACATTTACCTACCTACGCTACTGGCGATATACAGGCCGCTCGTGTGAAGAAAGGCCGGCAGAATGATTAAGATTGTAAATCCAGGCGCGAGACCCATGGCAGCTCCAAACTGCGCAGGTGAGAGAGTGGGACTTCGGGCTCCAGTGTGCTAAAGTTCCCCGAGACCAGCCACACCGCCACCACAGCAACAGCACAGCAGCCCGCAACTAACTGCCAAGTGCACCGGGAGAGAACGCTCGCTCACTCTCTCTCTCTCTCTCTCTCTCTCGCTCTCTCACACACACGCGCGCGCGCACGCGCTCTCCCTCTCGCTCGCTCCTTGCCTCTGCACTCACTCTACTCGACTCTACATACACGTGCGCCCACACATTTCTCTCGATGTGTTGTTGCGCACGCAGGAAGGCGCGAGGAACATATTAGGATAGTTCTGAAAACATTGGGTGTGCTGCAGCTGTTTGACAGTTCATCACAGCTCAAATAATTGAGAGGAAAATCAGAGAAAATGAGCAACCTCTCCCAGTCCACCCCAGAATAGTAAATAATGGAGAACATTTCGTTTTGTAACTTTAAAGGCCCAGTGCAGTCGAAAATGTGATTTTCCTGTGTTATATATATATATTTCCACACTATGAGGTTGGAAATATCAACAAGCTTTCACAGTCTCACATCAGAATTACACAATCATCCATGTTTCTCAAACATCACATTTCAAAGGGTTAAGGTTTGGGATAAGCTTAAAACAAAAATATAAAAAACTACTTTCTATCGCTGGATTCGAAGATGCAACCTTTGGAACCAGAGGTGTTTGGTTACTTTCTGTATCGTTCCAAGGTTAAGTTGAAGCATTAACTCTGAATTCTTAAGGTTAGGCATTAACTCTGAAAGGTTAAGGTATGTGTTAAGTTTTGGGATAAGCTTAAAACAAAAATATAAAAAACAACTTTCTATCGCTAGATGCTGTTGCCCCTAGTGGCCAGTTTCCACATCATCTCCCGACATCCTCAGACATGGATAGACGTCAAATACTGACTTGTTTCACGGCAACCTGCCTAAGAATAATACTGTAAAAATGATTTAGTCTAAGAGCAGTTTGAAAAGATCGCCTGAAATCTCAGCCTGTTTTGGTGGAATGGAGTTTTGGCCTGCCTGGTGACCACCAGGGCAGGAGGTAAATTAGTTAAACAGAAAGAGAGTTCCAAACCCCTCTGCCAATAACAGCTAGTTTTCAAGTTCCTGCTTCCCACTTGTTCTTTGCTAAAAAGCATTTTTTTGTCTTTTTGACCATTTTAATTGAAAACAATCACGGTAAGGTACTTAATTGTTACCCAGAAAGGATTTGATATTGAGATTTTACATCTGCATTGGACCTTTAAACTATTCTCCCGAATCATTCATATTTGGAGTGCACGTTTCACTGGCTGGTCCCACCACCATTCTGCAAAGCTTGCATAAACTTTATATCCCATGAGCATCCAGAGACATAATAAACAGTGGTGCAACAGCACCTTGCGTGGCGGCAGACGGAACTAAAAGGTTGAGAGGGGAACGTTAAATGCAGGACCCACCAGCCCAATTTACAGTGCTATTGCGCCAGTCCAGCTCAACTACAGTGAGAGGAGGGGAGCACCAGTCTTTAGGCATCCTCTTTCATTGTGGTGACGGTAGCCTGCAACATACCACACATTGCCCCATCTTAACCTTTACCTGGTGGTGGGGTCTGGTCTCTCTGTTACCTGGTGGTGGTGGGGTCTGGTCTCTGTTACCTGCTGGTGGTGGGGTCTGGTCTCTCTGTTACCTGCTGGTGGTGGGATCTGGTCTCTCTGTTACCTGGTGGTGGTGGGGTCTGGTCTCTGTTACCTGGTGGTGGTGGGGTCTGGTCTCTCTGTTACCTGCTGGTGGTGGGCTCTGTACTCTCTCCTCTCTCCTCTCTTCCAGTGAGTTCATGCACCTGTGTTACATCGGGCTTCTTTATCTATTATAGCATGGGGCTGTCATCACATTAGCAGCTACCGCCCATGGTGTGGGAAAGAGGGAGAGAAAAAGAGAGAGAGAGAGAGAGAGAGAGAGAGAGAGAGAGAGAGAGAGAGAGAGAGAGAGAGAGAAATTGATAGGGTGAGACATTTCTGGGCCAGTGTGGAAGCATGCAGGTAAAAACAGTCCAATAACACCTGGAGGTCCCAGCAATACTAACATAGACACTGACCCTCTGTGTGTGTGTGTGTGTGTGTGTGTGTGTGTGTGTGTGTGTGTGTGTGTGTGTGTGTGTGTGTGTGTGTGGTTGTGTGTTTGTGTGTCTTGTTTGTTTGTTGGTTTGTTTGTTTGTTTGTTGTCTGTCTGTCTGTCTGTCTGTCTGTCTGTCTGTCTGTCTGTCTGTCTGTCTGTCTGTCTGTCTGTCTGTCTGTCTGTCTGTCTGTCTGTCTGTCTGTCTGTCTGTCTGTCTGTCTGTCTGTCTGTCTGTCTGTCTGTCTGTCTGTCTGTCTGTCTGTCGTCTGTCTGTCTGTCTGTCTGCTGTCTGTCTGCCTGCCCTGCCTGCCCTGCCTGCCTGCCTGCCTGCCTGCCTGCCTGCCTGCCTGCCTGCCTGCCTGCCTGCCTGCCTGCCTGCCTGCCTGCCTGCCTGCCTGCCTGCCTGCCTGCCTGCCTGCCTGCCTGCCTGCCTGTCTGTCTGTCTGTCTGTCTGTCTGTCTGTCTGCCTGTCTGTCTGCCTGCCTGCCTGCCTGCCTGCCTGCCTGCCTGCCTGCCTGCCTGCCTGCCTGCCTGCCTGCCTGCCTGCCTGTCTGTCTGTCTGTCTGTCTGTCTGTCTGTCTGTGTATGCATGTAATGTTGGGTAGCTACCTAAAACTTCAACTACTAAATCTGAATATAACATCCATTTGTGACACAGCACAACCCCAACATACACTACATGACCAAAAGCATGTGGACACCTGCGTGTGTGTGTGAGAGAGAGGGAGAGGGAGGTGATGTTTCACCAGGAATCTACATCTACATCACACCCTCAAGGCTTTGTGGAATCGCCTTCAGCCTATCCCCATGCACACATGCACGCACACACACGGAAGTGAGCCCTGCCCTTTCATCAGCACTTGCCATTCGTACCGTAGCTTGCAAATGTCACATTGTTCCAAACCCTAACCACCCCCCCCCCCCCACACACACACACACACCCTCCCCTCCCCTGTTCCTGGTTACTTCGCTGTTGCCATGGAGATACCCAAGCCCCGCACCTTGAAAAGTACACTTGGAGAAGCTGGGAGGGAGGGAGACGCCGCTAATATCGTTCTCCCAGACCGCCTTGTGTTTGTGTAGGTTATTATAGCTAGAGCTGAGCTTGGCAGGGGGCAGTGAATAACATGGCCATCGTCTGTGCATGAGCAAACAGCTTGTTTGATGAGAAGTAGATACCAGTTATGACCAGTTATGTTGAGAAAATGTGTTCTGTGGAAGCCGTGTTGATATGTGATTCTGTGATGTTTTAATGGCAGGTGAAGGGTTTAGTATGTGTGTGGATGAGATACTGCAGCGTTCTCTGTCTATTTCTCTCTTTTTATATACAGCTATACATACACACTACCGTGCAAAAGTTTGGGGTCACTTAGAAATGTCCTTGTTTTCCATGAAAACATACATGAAATGAGTTTGAATAGGAAATATAACAAAATTAATAGGAAATGTAGTTGACAAGGTTAGAAATAAATAATAATTATGTTGTTCAAACTTTGCTTTCGTCAAAGAATCCTCCATTTGCAGCAATTACAGCCTTGCAGACCTTTGGCATTCTAGTTGTCAATTTGTTGAGGTAATCTGAAGAGATTTCACCCCATGCTTCCTGAAGTACCTCCCACAAGTTGGATTGGCTTGATGGGCACTTCTTACGTACCATACGGTCAAGCTGCTCCCACAACAGCTCAATAGTGTTGAGTTCCGGTGACTGTGCTGGCCACTCCATTATAGACAGAATACCAGCTGACTGCTTCTTCCCTAAATAGTTATTCCATAGTTTGGAGCTGTGCTTTGGGTCATTGTCCTGTTGTAGGAGGAAATTGGCTCCAATCAAGCGCCATCCACAGGGTATGGCATGGCGTTGCAAAATGGAGTGATAGCCTTCCTTCTTCAAGATCCCTTTTATCCTGTACAAATCTCCCACTTTAACAAAGCACCACCAGACCATCATATTGCCTCCACCATGCTTGACAGATGGCATCAAGCACTCCTCCAGCATCTTTTCATTTGGTCTGCGTCTCACAAATGTTCTTCTTTGTGATCCAAACACCTCAAACTTCGATTTGTCTGTCCATAACACTTTTTTTCTAATCTTCCTCTGTCCAGTGTCTATGTTCTTTTGCCCATCTTAATCTTTTCTTTTTATTGGCCAGTCTGAGATATGGCTTTTTCTTTGCAACTCTGCGTAGAAGGTCAGCATCCCAAAGTCGCCTCTTCACTGTTGACGTTGAGACTGGTGTTTTGCGGGTACTATTTCATGAAGCTGCCAGTTGAGGACCTGTGAGGCGTCTGTTTCTCAAACTAGACACTCTAACGTATTTGTCCTCTTGCTCAGTTGTGCACCGGGGCCTCCCACTCCTCTTTCTATAATGGTGAGAGACAGTTTGCACTGTTCTGTGAAGGGAGTAGTACACAGCGTTGTACGAGATCTTCAGTTTCTTGGCAATTTCTAACATGGAATAGCCTTCATTTCTCAGAACAAGAATAGACTGACGAGTTTCAGAAAAAAGTTATTTGTTTCTGGCCATTTTGAGCCTGTAATCGAACCCACAATTGCTGATGTTCCAGATACTCAACTAGTCTCAAGAAGGCCAGTTTTATTGCTTCTTTAGCACAACAGTTTTCAGCTGTGCTAACATAATTACATAAGGGTTTTCTAATGATCAATTAGCATTTAAAAATGATAAACTTGGATTAGCAAACACAATGTGCCATTGGAACACAGGACTGATGGTTTCTGATAATGGGCCTCTGTACGCCTATGTAGATATTCCATTAAAAATCAGCCATTTCCAGCTACAATAGCCATTTACAACATTAACAATGTTTACACTGTATTTCTGATCAATTTGATGTTATTTTAATGGACAAAAAAAATGCTTTTCTTTC